TGGATTTGAATTCTCTGGATAGATTGGGCTTTAGTTTTGTTATTTGGGGGGAAAGAGCATCAGAAAGGGATGAGGTTATACAATGTGCCTTGGAAAAAACATGTATGCCTCCTTAATTGTTGATCATGATGGATTATTATTATTTGCAATTTTTAAAAAATATTTATTATTATTATTATTATTTGCAGTTTCCCCTCCAAATGAATGTACCTGAACAATTTATCATTCAGGAAAAGTATTATTATTTATTTTAAAATATTATTATTATTTATTTTAAAATATTATTATTATTATTATTATTTATTATTATTATTATTATTATTATTTGCAGTTTCCCCTCCAAATGAATGTACCTGAACAATTTATCATTCAGGAAAATTATTATTATTTATTTTAAAATATTATTATTATTATTATTATTATTTCTAGTTTCCCCACCAAATGAATGTATCTGAACAATTTATCATTTAGGAAAATTGTTATTATTTATTTTAAATTATTATTATTATTATTTGCAGTTTCCCTTGCAAATGAATGTACCCAAACAATTTATCATTCAGGAAAAGTATTATTATTTATTTTAAAATATTATTATTATTATTATTATTATTATTATTATTATTATTATTTGCAGTTTCCCTTGCAAATGAATGTACCCCAACAATTTATCATTCAGGAAAAGTATTATTATTTATTTTAAAATATTATTATTATTATTATTATTATTATTATTATTATTATTTGCAGTTTCCCTTGCAAATGAATGTACCCCAACAATTTATCATTCAGGAAAATTATTATTATTTATTTTAAATTATTATTATTATTATTATTATTTGCAGTTTCCCCTCCAAATGAATGTACCCGAACAATTTATCATTCAGGAAAATTATTATTATTTTATTTAGAGTCCCCACCCAGATGTATATACCCTTAATAGCTAAATATTTGTCATTATTATTATTATCAATAACAATAATAATAATAATAATAATAATAATAATAAAAAGGCACTCCAAGTGGCCAGATACTGGTCAAAGGACATTTAATCAACTGCCAAGCTTGCAAACTTTGTGTTTTGTCTGTTTGTTTGTTTTGTTAAAAATGTAATACAAATGTCTGGTTGCTCCTGACAAAATAAATATTATTATTATTATTTAGGTCCCCTCCAGATGTGCATACCCTTAACAGCTGATTATTCATTGTTGTTGTTATGTGTCATCCAGATGTATATACCTTTAAATCAGATTATTTGTTGTCGTTATTAGTCCCATCCAGATGTATATACTCTTAACAGCTGATTATTTCTCATTATGTATTTATTTATTTAGGCCCCTTCCAGATGTGTATACTCTGAACAGCTGGCTATTCATGGTGATTATTATTATTAGGCCCCCTCCAGTTGTATATATTCTTAACAGAAGGTTATTTGTTGTTGTTGTTATTATTATTATTGGTCCCTTCCAAATTTATATACCCTTAAAAGCTTATTATTTGTCATCATCATCATCATCATCATCATCATCATCAAGGCCCCTTCTAGATGTACATACCCTTCACAGCTGATTATTTGTTGTTATTATTAGTCCTCTTCCAGTTGTATATACCCTTAACAGTTGGTTATTGTTGTTGTTGTTGGTCCCTTCCAGATGTATTTACTAGGCTTGGGTAACAACGGAAAAATTTGTTTCTAAAATCGATTTGTAATTGGGGGGTTTTTTTTGTTTCGATATTTAAAATAATTACAAAATTTTCCTTTGAAAAAGTTCGATATTTACGAAATTTCGTAAATGGCAAAAATTAACGAATCGATTTCCGAAACAATAACGAATCGATTCGTTGATGGCGGACGCGACCGCGAAATACGCTAAAAAACCTCCAAAACCTTCTGAAGCTTCCCTCTCCCTCTGTTCTTGACTGTTGGTGTGATATTATAATTTTTTTTCACTAATTAAACCATAAAACTGGCCCAGACATGCGGGAAAAATAACGAAACGACCTCGGAACAATAACGAAACGAATACAATAACGAAATACGAAGCATTTGCAAAACGTATTCAAAAATTCGATTTTTTAAATAATTGCTCCAGAATGGTTCGTTATCGTTTTGTAATTGGTAAAATTAACGAATTAATAACGAATTACGAATTAACGAAACCGCCCAAGCCTAGTATTTACCTTTAACAGCTGATAATCTGTCATTATTATTATTATTATTATTATTATTATTATTATTATTATTATTATTTAGGCCCCTTCCAGATGTACATACCCTTAACAGCTGGCTATTTGTTATGATTATTATTATTATGCTCCCTCCAGTTGTATGTATATATCCTTATTTATTTATTTATTTATTTACTTTGCTTATATACCGCTGTATCTCAAGCCCGAAGGCGACTCACAGCGGTTCCTTAACATCTGGTTATTTGTCATTATTATTATTATTATTATTATTATTATTATTATTATTATTATGGCCCCCTTCAGTTGTATATATCCTTACAAGCTGGTTATTTGTCATCATCATCATCATTATTATTATTTAGGTCACTTCCAGATGTACATACCCTTAACAGCTGGCTATTTGTTAAGATGATGATGATTAGGCCCCCTCCAGTTGTATATATCCTTAACAGCTGGTTATTTGTCATTATTATTATTATTATTATTATTATTATTATTATTATTATTATTTAGGCCCCTTCCATATGAACATATCCTTAACTGCTGGCTATTTGTTAAGATGGTGATGATTAGGCCCCCTCCAGTTGTATATATCCTTAACAGCTGGTTATTTGTCATTATTATTATTATTATTATTATTATTATTTAGGCCCCTTCCATATGTACATATCCTTCCAGCTGGCTATTTGTGATGATGGTGATGATTAGGCCCCCTCCAGTTGTATATATCCTTAACAGCTGGTTATTTGTCATTATTATTATTATTATTATTATTATTATTATTATTATTATTATTTAGGCCCCTTCCATATGAACATATCCTTAACAGCTGGCTATTTGTTAAGATGATGATGATTAGGCCCCCTCCAGTTGTATATATCCTTAACAGCTGGTTATTTGTCATTATTATTATTATTATTATTATTATTATTATTATTATTATTATTTAGGCCCCTTCCATATGAACATATCCTTAACTGCTGGCTATTTGTTAAGATGGTGATGATTAGGCCCCCTCCAGTTGTATATATCCTTAACAGCTGGTTATTTGTCATTATTATTATTATTATTATTATTATTATTATTATTATTATTATTTAGGCCCCTTCCATATGTACATATCCTTAACAGCTGGCTATTTGTTAAGATGATGATTATTAGGCCCCCTCCAGTTGTATATATCCTTAACAGCTGGTTATTTGTCATTATTATTATTATTATTATTATTATTATTATTATTATTATTATTTAGGCCCCTTCCATATGTACATATCCTTAACAGCTGGCTATTTGTTAAGATGATGATTATTAGGCCCCCTCCAGTTGTATATATCCTTAACAGCTGGTTATTTGTCATTATTATTATTATTATTATTTAGGTCCCTTCCATATGTACATATCCTTCCAGCTGGCTATTTGTGATGATGGTGATGATTAGGCCCCCTCCAGTTGTATATATCCTTAACAGCTGGTTATTTGTCATTATTATTATTATTATTATTATTATTATTATTATTATTATTATTATTTAGGCCCCTTTCAAGTATACATACCCTTAACAGCTGGCTATTTGTGATGATGATGATTATTTGCATTTTATATATATATATATGTGTGTGTGTGTGTGTGTGTGTGTGTGTGTGTATTTAACATTTAATAATGTATCATTCTGGATTATTATTATTTGCATTTTTTCATTTCTCCCAAAATGTATGCACCCTTAACAGTATCCGTGTTGTTTATTATTATTATTATTATATTATTATTATTATTATTATTATTATTATTATTATTATTATTTTCCTCAATTCCCATTCAAATGTAT